ATGACTGAAAATTAAATTAGGGCTCTAGGAGACTATTTTAATGGTTAGACCTGTTATGTCTCATTTCATTCAAATGATTGAAGTATTTGTGCATCTCGTAACAATTGCAGTCTCTATTTGAGTCTCTGTTTGCGCCTCATTATCGAGTCTTCGTCTATAGAATCAATTAAGTGAGACAAATTAATTAATGGATGACGCGTAAAGAATAAAGATAATATGTGTTACTTCATATTTTATGCATTTTTTAAATTTGTCAAAATAATGCGTGGACCGTTACAAGAGATATTATCATAGTAAAGATGTTCAATATTATAACGTGGTGTCGCATAATTTTTATTTTTAATAATTTTGACATTTAATATATAATAAACATTAGATATGTGTTATTTCATAATCATACTATACGAGTGCAATTGTTCAATGGCAAAATCCATAGGAATTAAAAATATACATAGATCATCATGACTGTAAGTACATATTTTTTAACAAACAGATCCGTACATCCATTTGTATCTCTTGTCTTCTCTTGCTTGAACCACACTTTTCGAAGCATAATATATTATTTTATTACTATTTTATGTTCTTTTTATTTGTTTTGTATGTTCTTTATGAAAATTGTGATATTATTTTTTAACTTTTTATGATTCATAACTTGTTTATATATGTAACTCTCACCTACTATTTTGTTGTGTTTTACTTTCTCTGATAATAACTTTATCTAATTGTTGTTTATATTAATTAGTTTTTTTATTGTGGATCATTTATAAGAATGAACAATTTAATTAGTTGATATTTTTGTATTGAAATGAGAACAAAATCAAGTTTGAGATAAATAAAAAATATATTTGATTTATTTTAATTTGTGGAAGAGAGAGATACTTATTATACTTTTTTATTAAAGTGTTAACCTTTTTTTGTCTTTTAATAAATGTGTATGTGTAATGTATATTTGTGAGGTGGACTGCACTTTTAAATCTAAATTTTAAATTTTATTTTGACTTAATCTTTTAGAAGTTTTTTAGTTAAACTAAATTATAATCTATACTAAATGATTAAACTTTTAAAATTTGGGGCCATTTTTATGTGTGGGCTTAAAGCCCATGCTTTTTCCACTCCAGTGTTGAGCCGGCCATGGCTCGTTTTGCTATCTTTCTGGGCCATTTGTAAACGAGGTTTGGACTGGTTGATCACTCTCTTCTCAGTTTCAAGTTTGCCTAACACACTGGTCATGGGCATTCCTTTGCTTGAGGCCATGAATGGTGACTTCACTCAGAGCCTCATGGTGCAACTAGTGGTTCTCCAATGCATTAACGGGTATCCCTCTATGTTTTTGTTTATTTCATCATTTAGGATTCCCTTCTTTTCTCTCTCATTGTATACTTGGTATTATATATATATGGTCATTATTATATATTGTAATTTTTTAATATTTGAGGTAATCTAATGTATATTTCTATGTAACATATAGGTATACTTTGTTGCTATTCCTATTTGAATTCATATATTAAACATGAGCATTTTGGCAAAACAAACATAACCATGATGACCTTTTTTTTTTGGCCATCTCATAACCATGATGACTAGAAACGATGAAGACACTGAAAAAAAAAATGGTGTAAAAGTCCAGGCCGGGCCTCGGTGGCAGATAGCAATTTCATATAATTTAGGGCATGTTTGTTGAAGTATTATATGATCGTGGTATTGGAAATATATTCCTTACATTTTTAATATGAATGGATATTAGTACTAGTAATAAAAATTATTTCAATCCCCTCTTATGTTTGTTTATTCAATAGGTATTATATTGAGTCCCACAAATAACTATTTATTCTATCACATCTTATATAACAAATATATCATTTTACTATTAACATCATCTATTTCATTCAAAATAATTTAAAAAAAAATGAAAAAAAAACCGGTGACACTGTGTGCTTAAACATAATATAAGGAAAAAATTCAAAAATAATTTTTTTTTAAAAAAATTTGAAAAAAAATCAGAAATATCGTACGTTTAAACATAATACAAGAAAAAAATTCAAAATAATTTAAAAAAAAAAAACCCTTAACATCAATATTTAAAAATAATACAAAGAAAAAATTTAAAATAATTTTTAAAAAAAAATCGGTGGCATCGTACGCTTAAACATAATAAAAAGAAAAAATTCAAAATAATTTTTCAAAAATTTTTAAAAAAAAAACGTTAACACCATACGCTTAAACATAATATAAGAAAAAAAATTCAAAATTATTTTTTAAAAAAAAATTAAAAAAAAATTGGTGACATCGTACGCTTAAACATAATATAAGAAAAAAATTCAAAATAAATTTTATATATGTGAACTCTTCGCATAAGAGGGTATTTGTGTCATTTTATTCTCTTATACCGTCCTTTCATTTGTACCGAGAAGATAATATCACTGGTAAGTGGTATTCATTAATACCATATAGAAGATATTAAGGAAAATGTTCAAACTGGGTCGGTATTACCATCCGAAAAATAGTACTGACTATAAAATATTAAACAAACAAAGTATAAAATGGATCTCATGTACTATTTTCTTAATCACACCTGTTTATACCATTCTTATACCCAAAACAAACTAGCCCTTTATGTATATGCTCGTTGCCTCAATTACTCATTTTAATTGATGATGTGAAGCATTACACTCTCTCTCTCTCTCTCCTATTTTGTATCTTAAAACGGTGGATGACTTTTAATTTGCAAGTATGCACTTAATTTTTATTTGGTACTTGAAATTCCAATTTTAAGAATCAAACACTTAGAGTTGTGGGAAAATTTTATCCACACTTTCTATAATTAAGTTTAAATTCAATGACACTCCATTTCGATTTTAAAATTTCACTGTCACTCCATATTAGTGTTTGCCGGGTTACGGCGTGAATAATAAATAATAATTTATTAAAATATAATTGAATATTTTATAGAGTAAATTTTATCTACACTCTTTATAAATAGACATAATTTCAACGATACCTTTTATAAATTGACCTATTTTTAACTATATTTTTTCCCAATTCTGAAATTTCAACACACTCTTTTAGTTTTATTATATTAATTTTTAGGTTCATCAATTTAGTATTTAATTTTATTAAATTAATGTCATTTATTTAATTTAAACTAAATTAACGTTCCATCTCATAAAATCAACAAAAATTGATATTTAATTTTATCAAATTAGTATTTATTTATATTAATTCAATATTTTATTTCATTAAATTAAATATTATTTTTTTAATTTAACATTAAATTATTATTTAATTTCATCAAATCTACACAAAATTGACAATTAATTTTATTAAATAAAAATCTAATATATTAAATAGAATATTAAATTCCATTGATTTAACATTCAACCTTATCAAATTAATATCAGTTTTAAATTAACACAAATTGAACATTCAATTTCATTAAAGAAACATTTAAATTTATTCAATTAATATTAAATTTTATTAAATCAACACTGAGTTAATATTTAATTTTATCAAATTAACACCAAATTAGTACTTAAATTTATCAAATTAAGACCAAATTTATTCAATTAATATTAAATTTTATCAAATAATATTTAAATTTTATAAATGAAGTGTGATATGTGAAAAGTGGTAAGGTGATGTTGTGGAGGATAAACGAGAGCAGAGGAATTAGAAATGAATGAAATTTCGATATTGACTTTATTGATCGTAATTTTTATTATAAATTTTTTTTCTTAACTATAAAACTTGATTATGTAAAAAAATGAGTGATGATATGATGACTAATATTAAAATAAAGTTATCATGCAACGTTTTAAAATGATAAAAATTTATTGAGAAAATATAATGATAGAAATTACGTTTATTAGTTGGTTAGGGCATATATAATGGAAAAAAGGATTGTAACATTTTAGTCCATTTACATAACTAAAGGTAATTTTGGCATTTTTATAAAATATTTTGTCAAATCATTACTTTATCTATTAGAAGAGACAAAAGTTATTGTTAAAGGGGTGTCATTGATTTGAAAGTGTAATTAGATGAGAATACAGTGAAGTTTTAGAATCGAGAGGGGTGTCGTTGAATATAGACCTAACTACAGGAAGTGTAGATGAAATTTTCTCTATGTGCAATGGAAAAAGAGTCGAAGACATTTTAGTCTATTTACATAACAAATGGTAGTTTTGATATTTTCAGAAAATATGTAGTCAAATCATTACTTTATGTATTAGAAATTAAGGTCAAGGGTTTAAGTCTCCTTTTTAAAAAAAAAAAATTAAATTTATACCTAAATAGAGAGGATGTAGATGAAATTTTTTTCAGAGTTTAATGATGCCTCAATTTACAATAGTGTAAAAAAGTATATTAGTCTGGTGAAAAGTTTTTTACGTTAAAAAATATTATTTTATTTCATCTAATTTAGAGAAAAAGAATATACCAAACTCGACAGAGAGATATATAATGAGAATTTGGGAGATAGTGTGAAATGAAAAGAGAAATATTAATATATTTGATATAAATATCTTTTGTTAGACAAATATATGTTTATGGGCAAATCTTGTGACGTCATTTTGTAGGAACAAACTAACAGATCTGGATTTGACTATGGTAGTAACCATACCAACAAAAACATTTCGGTATCGTACCTTCACAATTTACTATTTTGAGAGTATTTTTAAAACTTTTGTAAGTCATTTTATAACCAAAAAATTTATTACTTTTGTGAATGTTTTTATCACTGTCGTCGTTTTTTTTTTTAATCACATTTGTTGTAAATATTTTTACTAATTTTCTTACGTAGAAAAACACTTATCACATTTATAGGTGGTTTTACTACATTTGTAGATATTTTTACCATTGTTGTGGTATTTATTTTTATCATTTTTTTAGATACCACAACAATGGTAAAAATCCCTTCAGATATAATAAAAGTAACCCCAAATATGATAAATGGAGGTATGATATTGAATTTTTTTTTTGCACTGTAGTCAAATCCAATAGATTTAGATGAAAATAATTGGATTGAAACAAGATTAAAACTTGAAGTATGACAAGACAACAACAAAAACTTTACAAAATGAGTAGCTTCAGGCATTTAGCAAACAAACAGAACATTTTTTATTATCAGTTGAACAAACAAACCAACTGAACACTGAAATTAGAGGTTTATTGCTCTTCATCCATCCATGCGAATGATGCATCGAAGGCCGTCCCCTTTCAGCATGTAGTCAAAGGCCTTGTTGATCTCTGTGAATGGGACTTCGTGGGTGATGAACTTCTCCAATTCAAGTTCCTGCACCAGTCACAATAGTTTAGTAAGACCTGTGCTCCACAACAAATGCAAATCCTAACTATGCGCCTTTTGGAATCATGAATGCAAAGCAAATCTCGGATGAAAGCAATTGCATCGGACTGGAGCTCGAACTTAGGACATGTGCATATGGGTCTTGTCTTTGTTCAACGATTGAATCAATTCTTGCAGACTCGTTAATTAGGAGAGAAATTTGGTTATAAGAGAAGGTGGGATTTGACAATTTACCTTGTTCATGTACTTTTCGACGATGGAAGGAAGGTCTGAGCGGGGTTTGTAGTTTCCAAAGAAGGTACCCTTGAGCGTCCTCTCATTCAGTAAGTTGATGGGGTGGGTCTTAAAGACAGCATCTTTAGTTGGAACACCCACAAGAACAGCCACACCCCAGCCCTGTAATGGCAGTTTTACTTTATATTAGCACTTTATATTTCAATAGTTGATAAATATACGCAGGGTAAATGTAATGCACATATATCTGTCAATAAAATTGGTTGCATCTAATTCGGACTTTATCAGATGCCTTGATACTAGTCCAAACTGTTCATTAATCGGTTTTGTATTTTGGTAACCATGCCTAATTGGTGAATTATGACTTACTTCCCTCCCAACCAAAACCCATGGCCAATACACCCTATAAATTGAAAATGAACTCGATTCATATACTAGCAAAACCAAGTAAAAAATTATCTGTTTGTAAAATGATTCGTATACTTGATCAATAAATGGAGAAAAAGTGACATTTGCTGATATAACACCAGCTAAACGAGCTTGATATATCAAAATCAAGTTATTTATTATAGTTAAAAATAACATGCCTTGTTTATTATTAATTTTAATAGGTTGCGCTATTTTAAAGTTCATATCAAGAACTAGTTACAGGATTGTGCATGAGTTCCTATGGTGGGACGGTTAAAAAGGGGCAACAGAGCATTAGCTGTAGTTAACTGGGATGAAAGAGACGTTCAAATCTTGCGTTTGAAACTTGATAATTTTTTTTTGAGCTACAATTTGAAGGATTTATATCACATGAATTTTTTTAGTCCCGGTGTAGATAGTTTATCTTTAACTGGACCGGAGAGGAGATTAATCGAGGTGTGTGTAAATTAGTCCAAATACCCATGACCGCAATACTAAAAAAAAGAAAGAGATATGCAAAGGAACTTACATCATGGACAGATTCAAATGCTGAAATCATTGCATCAATATGCCCAGTACATTCAATACTTCTGTCCACTCCTCCATCTGTCATCTCAGCAATAACCTAAACACATAAATACAAGAGAAATATCTTTATCTCATTGGAAACATAAAGGGAAAGTTGTATTATAAGAGAAAACTTATGGTTAGATAGAAACCAACCTCTTGAACTGGCTTGTTATGTTCTTTTGGGTTCACAAACTCTGTAACACCAAACTTTTTAGCTGTACAGAACATGCAGAAAATCTTATGAGTTGTCTTTTTAATGGGTTCTACTAAAGTGGAGTCATTTTCGAACACGAGTAGTAAGAATTCCACGAATTACAGGCAAGACTTATTGCCAGCCTAGAAAATCTGATCAGATTTGATTCATTTTTAGCAATTTAAAAGAGCCTGAATGATTCAAAACTGAGGCGAGCCCAAGAGTGAATGTTTTACCTAGCTCAAATCTGTTGGAGTTCAGATCAACACCAATAATCCTTGAAGCCCCAGCAATTCTGGCTCCTTCTGCAGCCTAATCACATAATAGTTACCACAATATAAAAACACTAATCCTCCAAATTTAGTTAGCACCATAAAAAACACTAAACATTCTGTAAGGTAATCTGAGAAACTCACTGCAAGGCCTACAGCTCCTAATCCGAAGACTGCCACAGTTGAGCCTTTTGGTGGTTTGGCTACATTCAAAGTGGCTCCAAGTCCTAAAAACAGTCGAATGAAAATTTTGTTCAATCACTAATACAGAAACATCAGTCAGTGGGTCTGGCTTCTCTGCTGTGAGGTGCTGTTGATTAAAACATCTTCGTTTTATGCCAAAATTGCGTTATTTTATTTAACAAAACAACTTTAAAAGACACTATTTTAATCAACAGCACCTCTACTGTTAATTTTCTAACAGTATAGGATCCTCACCCTCGATCAAATCTTCATGAATTGGGTTCAAAATTAGATTTATAATTCTCTTGTACCTGTGGAGATTCCACAACTAAGGACACAAACTTTGTCGAGAGGGGCAAGGGGGTTGATCTTGGCGACGCAACCAACATGGACCACAGTGTATTCGCTGAAGGTAGATGTTCCAACGAAATGGAAAATTGGTTTGCCATTGATTGAGAATCGCGATTTTTCATCATGAATCATCACTCCCCTGTCTGTGTTAATCCTAAGGAGATTGCACATGTTGCTCTCTTCGGATTTGCAGTGAACGCATTCTTTGCATTCCCCGGTAAACACCGGGAGGACATGATCACCTGGCTCAACATCCGTCACGCCCTCTCCTATACTCTCCACAATCCTAAGCAACAATGAAGAAAATTTAATCTCATTGGATTTTTACAATTAGAATAAAAGAGATGAACATGATAAGCGGTGATTCAATCAAGTTAATAAGATGTTTCTTATCAGAAATTAAGGACATACCCTCCTGCCTCGTGCCCTAGGATTCGAGGAAACATGGGGTTCTGGCCCTGAAAGATTTGCACAAAAACCAAATTTATTTGTCAGCATATCTACATGAATGATTAAAATCATCGTGCAAAGTCCAACAATATAAAATGAAGATGACATTTTTTTGTTGCAATAGTATTGTATACCAAAAAATGATTAGTACGTGAATCAGGGCTAATTTACCTTAGCTTCCCAGAAGAAGACATCAGTGTGGCAGAGGGAGGTATATAAGATCTTGAGACGAACCTCCATTTTCTGTGGAGGAGCCACCTCCACTGTTTCAATCACTAGTGGCTTACCTGCTTCCCATGCCACAGCAGCTGCAATAACAAACAAACACACAAGATTATATTAGTAGCCCACCCCATCATCTCAAATTACTATCTCATGAAATACCACAAAACAAGTGTTTTAACAAGAAAACTTAAGAAAAAACACTTTGGGGTTTCCCAAAAACACCCACTATAATCACATTCGAGCCGAACTTGAACTAAATTCAAGCTGCTGGGATTGTTTAACAGCTAGCTACACAATACTAATAACCTCAAGCTATGAAGTTGGAGATAAATTTAAACCTACATAGCAAAAACACATGAAGGACAAGAAAAAACTGAAACTTTAGATACCTCGCCCTCCCCCCCCCCCCCCCAAAAAAAAAAACACACACACACACACACACAAGCAAAAGCAAGCGATGAGAGACACATATCTCAATTGCTTATAGATATTCATACCTTTGCAACGTATGACCTGACCGGCAGTGTTCAACATCCTTCTTCTCCTCTCCGCAGACAATGCAAAATCTAATCTGCTAGACCCTAAAAGTTTCAAGTGTGTTTGTATAGAGCTCGTGGATTTGTTGTTGGTGGATGCTACACTGCTCTATGTGGATATTTATACTGTGTCTAAAGATCAAATAGAGATAGAAGCATTAGAAAAAGCAGCCAAGTTGTGAGTTATTTTTCTAGCTGTAAAAGCCAGTTGCTAGTCAAACAGGTTTTATATATTTCGACTATTTCAATGAACTTATTACAACCATCACATGTAAATACAACAGGCGACGACAATACCATTCCCGGGTTTTGGTTCCCGGGACTGTTGCATCTGGTTTTAGCGCTGTTTTTCATTTTAATGTTTTTATCCGTTGTTATGATAGTGATCGATGATTGTTTGAAATTTAAAGTGTGGGGGTCTAGGAGAAGATATTTATTATGTGACAATGTCATGTCCAGGAGAAGATATTACTGTGACCCCAACCCAGTCTCCATATCCTTTTTGAAATTTTGGACACTAAGCAGTCTTAGCTGTTTTATTTTTCAATTTGGTGTCTGAATTGTAAAAATAGTCTTTTTTAAATAACGTCATGTATTAGCTTGGTCATGTTGTAAGGTTGTACAATATTAATGAACTAGTTATTGTCTGTGTCTGAAGGCACAGAGTAATAAAAATAGAAAACAATAAACATATTTGTATTCATATTTAAAATCAAATCACAAATATAAAGAAGAGGTAAAGGAATTTAAGCATCAATTTGTAGTGGGGGTGAGAGGTGGTAGGCGGCAGTGATGGTGGAATGAGTCGGTAATGATTATGGTGGGTGACAATAACTGCAGTGGTGGTGGCAGTGGTGGTGGTGGTGGTGGCAGTGGTGGTGGTGATGGCGACAGTGGTGGCGGTGATAGTTGATGTTGGTGGTGGCGGCGGTAACGACGACTGTGGCGATGATAGAGGTAGGGTGGGACGGTTTCAAGGATTATTTTTTAAAAAATATTTATGATAAATAATTTTTAAAAGTACTTTTAAAAAATCACTTCAAGCACACCTTTTTTTTTTCTTTTTTTAATAGAATTGCTTTAAACATATCCTTATGGGCCTATTTTTTCTATTAAATTTAGGGAGTTAATGTTAGCCATTAGATTAATTTTAAAGTAAAATTTAAAACGATCTCAACCGCGAATAGCAAAAGTTATTTTGTTTATCTTTTAAGATTTGAATTGTAAACTATTTTATTATATAGATCTATTTCTACCATGTACGATAGTTGGAGCGGAATAAAGGATTATATTAGTTAAAATTGGGGCTGAGTCTTCTTAGATAGACTTATAATGACTTGAGTCCGTCAAGAAAATTTATTTGATGATAAATCCATTTTTTTTATCTTATTAATAAGTACTTAAGTCCACTATTTTTTTAAATCTCAAAAATACTCTTTAACAGTGTTATTCTGTTCAATTATAGAAACCTTAAAGATCTTGAAATTAATTTCATAAATTAGAATTATTATCTTTTAATTCACTCATAAATTGAAATTAAAATTTATATTTTCTCTCTCGTTAGAAAAAGATCATCACTTCAGTACAACAAATCTTTCTCCTTAGATATCATTTCTTCCTCCATAGCATCAAAATCAGTAGGATTTGAAACATCATCAATAACTACCATATTTTTTACTGTGTTCTGGTTATCATGAACTTCTATGTCGTTGATTTTCAGAAAAAAAAAAATTTAAAAAACTTGTTCAATCTGTTATTAGTTTGATTCCCAAATTTATTTTTATTTTTTTGATAAATAATCCCCAAATTTTTTTAATGTTTCATGTTACTGTGTTTTTTTGTTGACCATGTTAATATTTCTTCTAATTGACCATGTTACATTTTTTTGTTAAGCATGTTATTATTTTTTCAGTTTTGCTTTTTTGAATGCTGAAGAATTGAAGGATTTTTTCTCTGATTATGAGTTTGAATGCTACTATTTTTATTTTTATTTTTATTCAATGTTTTATATTGTTATTTTTGTTATTGACCATGTTACTATTTTTGTTGAACAGTTACTATTGTTATTTTTTTTAAATATTAATATTGAATGTTACTATTTTTTAATGTTTAAATGTTATTATTTTTTTTGTATTTAAATGATATTATTTTTTATGTTTAAATGATAACTTTTTTTTGTATTTGAATGTTACTATATATACATGAGAGTTATAGTCCTAATCTAATATGGATATATATATATATATATGTATATATGAGAGAAAATTTTTTAATATTAGTCAAACTCCTAAAATTTATGAGTTTTTAATTTTTAATTTTACTTCACTTTTAAAAGGAAGAGAGAGTCCGGTAAAATTGACAAAAAATAAACTTCATAACAAATAAATTTCATTGATAGACTTAAGTCCATATAAGAACACTGCCCTCCAAATTTCTTATTAAATTATTTCCCAAAATTTTGATCGTAGAGTTTCGTTTTTTCTATCATTTTGCGTGTGTTAAGGTTTGGACTAGGGATGAAGAAGTGGCAACTTAATTGATACCCCTCAAAGAGAAAACCACTTAATACTTAAAATTGAATATTTTATACACTTAATAAATTAAATTTATTTGTTAACTTAAAATTTATACTATTTAATATTTTAAACACTTCTTAAAAATATGTTAAAATTTTAAATAGTAAATCACTTACTTGTCAATTAATGCTAAAAATGTTAGTCAATAAATATTTTATAAATTTATCATAATTGACAAATATACTTTTAATGTATTCTACACTATTAATTTTTCAATACTCACCAGAGCCACTACCACCATTGTGTCGCCACTTGGTGGTAGAAATAAGGTAGTTGCGGTAGAATGGTAAAACAAAGGGCAAAATTAAAATAATAATAATTTTTAGACTTCAGTTCTTTATATTTGATAAATAATTTGATTCAATTTAATACTTAAATTTCAGTGTAAACAGTCTGTGAATTAAAAAATTCAATATTCAATACTTTAAATTTAACATTCAATTTTTAGTATTTAATTTTTAATTTTATCAAATACTACTATAGTTTGTAGATTATTATATATAATCCAAATTTAGATATTAATCATGAATGCAAAATAGGCGTGGTTGAGACGACTCTGAATAGTTAAAAAAAGAAAAAAAAATGTTATTAGCTGTGTTTATCCATGGTGGCCCCCTTGATTCCCTGACTTTTAACCTACACCACGTATGGCTGTCATAATTTGAACACCTTATCCTAGTTTTGTTTGTCCAAAACTCCCAATCCAATTCTTTGATGGTTTTCCCCTATCCCCTTCAATGGTTTTTCCTGTAACCCCACTTGTGGTTTGAAAATTCCATTAACAGTATTTGCCCATTATAAACTTTTGGGTAAAATATAGTTTACCCCCTTATAGTTTGGTCGTTTTACACATCATCTTTTTGTAGTTTAAAAATCAGCACATAGTCCTCTTGTGCTTTTGGACTACAGTGCAAGCGTTACTATTTCTGTCAAAAGTGACATAAATTATAACACACGCGCTAAATTTGCAAGTATAGATGTAAAAAATTTAAGTCAGAGTCAAAACTCAATCTAAAAGTTCAAATATATCCTTGTGATCTTTCTAAAAGATATTTTTTTATCTTCTTTTACGTATAATCTAAAAGTCCCTCTCTTTCTCGTCGAAAAAAACTAAAAATGACCGTTCATTCATAATTTCTCATTTCCCTTTTCCCTTTTCTTGTCTCTATGCCTCTCCAGCTCTCGCCTCTCAGCTCCTCCTCTTCTCTCTCTCTCTCTTATAATTGTTCTTGTGATTTTTGGCGGGGATGATGGGGGTTTTTCAATGGGTTTAGGGGTAGGTTTTAGAGACTGTTAAGGGTGGATTTTTAGGGCTATTGGGTGGGTTTCAGGGGGGTGTTGGGAGTGGGTTTTCGCGGGTTTGGGGTGAGTTTCAGGTGTGGTGTGAGGGGTTCCAGGGGGTGTTGGGTTTGGTTTTTCGTAGGGTTTGGTTGTGCGGGTTTCAATGGTGTTGGGTTGCTATTGGTGGGGGGTGGGTTTTTAGTGGGGTTAGGTGGTTGCTGGTGGTAGGATTAAGTGGTGTTGGGTGGTTGATTTTGGGTAAAATACTAAACATGTTTTTTATTTTTGTTTTTATAATTTTTTAAATATAAATAATTATCAAACATGTTTTATATTTTTTAATTTTTATCACAGAAAAATAAAAACTAGTTTTTGTGAGCAATTGTGATTTAGTGATGATAGCCAATAACTATTGATTCAATGGAGAGTTGAATGGTAAGTGAAAATACAATGGCGTTAGAGAAGATATGATGACAAAGTTTATTCAAATTTTGAGGGCAAGGTAATCTTTTTGTCACCACTGTTAACGGTGTTAGCTATGCATTTTAGTCCAAAAACACAAGGGGACTATGTGCAAATTTGTGAACCACGAAGAGGTGATGTGCAAAACAATCAAACCACAAGGGGACAAACTGAATTTTGCCCTAAACTTTTTCATAAACTAGTCACAGGCATAAGCACATGCATGCACCTTGTGTGAGATTCAAAACTTGCTAGTCATATCGCTTTTTTTTTTTTAGTTTATCGGTGAGGAACGTCTTGACCAATTTAAGCACATCTCAATTAATCCTCTATTTAGTCCGATTAAAGGCTGGTTATTTACGCCGAAACTAAGATATTCATGAAAAATTTATCTCTCATGACTGATAAAATTTCTCATGGTTTGGTCTTAAGAGATTATCAAAATTTAAATTTAAGACATATAAATTCACAGCTAACGGCATATTAATGAGCTATCCATGCTGATTAATAAAGTTGAACTTGATCCACAAGTATTGATTGAAAAACCACTAAATTAGCTTCTTAATCACTGAATCTGTTTCCTGTAAACTTGGTTCTTGATTTTAGTTTCACCCAATGAGTCACTTTCACATCTCTCTCTCTTGCTACGAATTTGTCCCAACACCTGGTCGATTCATGTAAAGTTGAGGCTCCTGGGTGACATTTCAATAACAATAAACACTTTGCTATCTTTACCCATGACTTTGCGAGCTGATAATTGATTGAGGTTCTTAAAGTGACACCCACAAGATGGACTTTAGCAAACCTAGTTGTGCTTTAGTTTTCATGGATTCAAACGTTTGAAAAATGAGAAATAGGCATCCTAGGGAGTAGGGATACCAAGTTATCACTGTTGGAGTATTCCCCTTGTCCTCTCATTAGATTATGTAACGTCACATTCACTTCATGCATAAATTGTGTCATATCAAAATTTACGTAGTTCATATACA